TTGGTTTCAAAACATGGAGCTATTCTGAGTCTGAATTCTTTTAAGGAAGTGTTTGACAAAAGTCAATCATTGTCATACCACCTTCATGATTTTAAGCTACAACAGAATTTTATTTGTATTACTATTTACTCAATATTTTTCTTTAATCATTTTTGTTTACACTATACTTTAAGAAGAAACCTTATCACTACTGTAAACATAGAAAAACATTATAATATATATTAAAATTGACCAATAGCTCTTAAGGTTAAAAACAAGGCTGTCTATGTATCACCCCATGCTCATCTGGTATACACTAGGCATCCGAGGACCATGCTGATGCCTTTAGGGCAGGAGTAGAACTGAAACAGAAGAAATTCTAACTAAAAATCCTATCTACATTGTCTTACCCAATTTTAAAAGGTTGAACAAGAGATTCCAAGATGGTGGCGGAATAAGTGGAAGCTACACTGAGACACTCCCAGGAATTACAACTAAAACATAGAAAAACCATCCTGAATAATCAACTGCAACTGAAGACTAGCTGGGGAGCACCCTCACATCCAAGAACGTAAAGTGGAGACCACATAGAGACTGGTAGGAAGTGTGGAGATTCTAAAGGGCTGGCTGGGCTCCCACAGGCGGCAGCTGAAGGTCCGGAGGGATATCTCAGCTGTGGGCGGTTCCCACTGAGAACTCTGGGAACTAAATCCCAAGCTGGGCTCCCCAGCCCAGAGCACCGGAAGGGAGAAAGATGCCAACATTAACAATGGGCTGGGAAAAGCAGCAGGGTTTTTATCTAACAGGAAGAGACTGCTGGAAATGCAGGCACCATCTTAAAGGGAAAATGAACAAAATTTTGTCTGGAGCCACTCACCTTGGGCTCCAGAGGAGGGTGGGTAGAGTGGACTACAGCTATGTGAGGAGAACCCAGAGTTGTTGGCTCTAGGGATATAGCTCGGAGGGCACCTGCCTGGATTCCTATGGTGAGTCATTCACCCAGAGTGCAGAGGACATATTTCTCAGGTAGACATTTGCCAGTGAGGCACCTTTTGCCTGGGGGGAGAGCAACTGCCCCACCTGTTAGAAAACCTCTCACTCCAACCTGTGGAGTTTCCACAATGCTGTGGTCTGTAGCTTGAGGCACATTAAGCTGTGGTCTGTAGCTTGAGAATAAAAATCAACCTGCAGGCAGAGGCAGATTTCTGGGTGCTTTGTCTTTTCCTGATCTGATGTAACTGCGGCTAGGAAAAGTAGACCTTAGTGGGCATCCTGGTCCTTTCCAAATGCACCAAGGCCCAGCAGAGGGGACCACAGCTGTGAATTGCTGATAGGTCTAAACAGGTTACTCAAGGCCAGTAACAAACAACATCTGATACTGTCCTGAACCAGAGGACCTCCAAAAAGACTAAGAGTCATATGAGATCTACTTAGTACATAGAAACAAACCCTAAAAAGCAGCCAAAAAGGGCAGAAAAAGAAAATAAGCCCCAAATGAAAGAAGAGAATTCTCCAGAAGGAGAGGTAAATGAAATGGAGATAAGCAATGTACCAAATATAGAGTTAACAAGAATAATTATAAGGATGCTCAAAAACATGAGAAAAGTTACAGAAACTATGAAAAATAACCAGTCGGAAATGAAGAATGAAATACCAGTAATAAAGAATATATTGGAAGGAATAAACAGCAGTTTAGAGTAAGCCAAGAATTGGATCAGCGAGTTAGAAAAGAGGGTAGAAAAAAAAAATCACTCAGAGAACTAAAAATAAAAAAACAATTGGAAAAAAAAAAGACAGTTTAAGGGAGCTGTGGGAAAACATATATAATGTAACAATATCCACATCATAGGAAATCAAAAGGTGAAGAAAGTGAGCAAGGCACGGAAAATCTGTTTGAAAAAATAATGGCAGAAAACTTCCCTAACATGGTGAAGGAAAATGTCACACAAGTACAGGAGGCACAGAGAGTCACAAGCAAAAAGAACCCGAAGTTCGTGCTCAGACACATCATAATTAAAATGCTAAATATTAAGGACAAATGGAGAATCTTAAAAGCAGCAAGAGAAAAGCAATATGTGACCTACAAATGAGTTCGCATAAAGCTATCAGCTAATTTCTCATCAGAAATTCTACAGGCCAGGCCCAGCTGGGCGTGGCTCAGCGGTTGAGCATCAACCTGGGATCCAGGTGATCAGGGTTTGATTCCCGGTAGGGGCACATGCCCAGGTTGTGGGCTCGATCAATGACTCTCTCATCATTGATGTTTCTCTCTCTCTCCCTCTCCTTTCCTTTCTCTGAAATCAATAAAGATATCTTTAAAATAAAATAAAAAAGAAATTCTACAGGCCAGAAGGGAATGGCATGAAGTATTCAAGGTAATGCAAAACAAAGATCTGAAACCAAGAATACTCTATCCAGCAAGGCTATCATTGAAGATAGATGATGAAATAAAGAGCTTCCCAGACAAAAAGGGTTAAAGGAGTTTATAACCACCAAACTAGCATTGCAAGAAATGTTAAAGAGACTGCAGTCATAATAAGAAGAAATAGAGAAAGAGAGAAACGTAGGCATGAAGAATTGACAGGGCAATAAATAAGTACCTATCAATAATAACCTTAAATGTAAACGGATTAAATGCTTCACCAAGACATAAGGTAGCTAAATGGATAAGGAAATGTGACAAAATACATGCTGTCTACATGAGACCCACCTAAAAACAAAAGACTAACACAGGACGAGAGCAAAGGAATGGGAAAAAAATTTCCATGCAAATAGAAATGAAAAAATGCAGGGGTACCAATACTCATATCTGACAAAATAGACTTCAAAATGAAGGCGATCCCAAGACACAATGAAGGTCACTACATAATACTACAGGGATTGATCCAACAAGAGGCTATAACCCTGGTAAACATATGTGTACCCAATATAGAATCACCTAAATATATACATTAAAAAACCTTCTGGAGTACTTAAGAAAGAAACTGACACGAATACAGTCACAGTAGGGTATTTTAACACCTCAGTGACATTACTGGATGGATCTTCCAGACAAAAAAAATCAACATAAAACAATGACTGTAAATTACGAACTAGATCAGATGGATTTAATCGACATTTACAGAACATTTCGCCCAAAAGCTGCAGAGTATACATTCTTCTAAAGTGCACATGGGAAACTCTCAAAGACCACCTGTTAACACACAAAACAAGAATCTACAAGTTCAAGAAGACTGAAATTATATCAAGGACCTTCTCAAATCACAATGGCATAAAATTAGAAATCAACTACAATAAAAACACTCAAAACCATTCAAACACATGGAGGCTAAATAGCATGGTTACCAATGAGATCATGGAAGAAATAAAAAACTACCTGGAAACAAATTAAAATGAGCACAAAGCAACCCAAATCTATGGGACACAGTAAAAACAGTCCTAAGAGGGAAGTTCATAGCACTACAGCCCTACCTCAAAAAACAAGAAATTGTGGACAAAATGGACAAATTTGTAGAAAAATACAGTCTTCCAAAACTGAATCAGGAAGAATCAGAAAACCTGAATAGACCAATAACAACTGATGCAATTGACGCAGTAATTAAAACACTCCAAAAAAACGAAAGCCCTGGTCCAGACGGCTTCACAGGGGAGTTTTTCCAAACATTCAAAGAACTAACATGTAAACTCCTCAAACTATTCCAAAACATCCAAGAGGAATGAACACTTCCAAGCTCTTTTTATGCGGCAAGCATTATCCTAACTCCAAAACTAGATAAAGGCACTAATAAAGAAAGAGAATTACAGGCCAATATCCTTGATGAACATAGATGCTAAAATCCTCAACAAAATATTACCAAATTGGATCCTGGAAAATATTAAAAAGATCATACATCATAACCAAGTGGGATTTATTCCAGGCATGCAAGGCTGGTACAACATGCACAAATTAATAAATGTGATACATCACATAAACAAACTGAAAGACAAAAATCACATGATCATATCAACAGATGCAGAAAAAGCATTTGAAAAAAATCATCAACCATTTCTGATAAAAACTCTCAGCAAAGTGGGCACAAAAGGATCATACTTCAACATAATAAAGGCCATATATGACAAATATACAGTCAACATCATACTCGGGCAAAAAATTAAAACCATTTCCCCTAAGAACTGGAACAAGATAGGGGTGTCTGCCTTCACTGTCCTTATTCAACATAGTACCAGAAGTCTTAGCCACGGTGATCAGACAAGAAGAAAAAATAAAAGGCATCCAATTTGGAAAGGAGGAAGTAAAACTGTTATTATTCACAGA